GTACAATAACACGTCACTTGCCAGAACCCGCTTTGCTGGAGCTGTGGTAAAAAAAGAAAAGAAAAGCCACCAACCAAGAGCCAGGTTGTCGGGAGAAGCCCCGTTCCCCCTCACCAGAGCAGAACGAACGTGGCTGAACGTGGCAGCCCTCCACCTCTCCGGCCAGCCCCCCGAGCGCCCACCGCCACGGGCGCGGCCTCCCACCAGTGGGCAGGGGTCATGGGGGGCAGGCGGCAGCACACACCGGGAATTCGGCTCTTAATCTTAACTAAACACATTGCCGATGTGCTCATCAACAAAAATCTAATTATTATGTGCGAGGCCAAGCTTAATTGCTTGTCCTTGACATGAATAATGCACCACGTAAGCCTATTAGCCAGTGTAAGCCTATTATTATTATTATCGCGCTCGCTGTCAAAAGTATAAAAGTAAAACAGTCGAACGGGTGTGGGGGGGGAAATAATGTTGTGCAATTAGCACCAAAATGCCAGACAAATCAGCTCATTAGTTGTTCACGGGGGCAAGCTCCGCCAGTCATTAGCAAGTGCGCATTTGGGGGCTGGTCAGGGGTGAAGCCTGCCGGGACACCGGCGCCAGGAGTGTGCGGCATCCCCGTGGCATCCCTGGCCGCCCTGCAGCATGGTTCTTCGGAAGAGGAGGAAACTGGCTCCAAAAGCAGCTTCTCCGCAAAATTACGGAGTTTACAGTTGAGAGCTGGACTCCCAGTTCAAGGTGGGTGCGAGCAGCCAGAGCGCCCGGCTGGTGTCCCTCTCCCCTGGTCTGAAACCAGGCACCAGCCCGTTCCGACCCTTGACCTGCCCCCAAGCCCCGCTCGACTCCTTTGCATCGTTTGCTAATTAAATTCCAGTAATGAGAAAATCAGGATGCAGGAGCTAGCTGAGCAACGCTGCCTCCCATGCACGCACTCCTCCCGGATTTATCACTAGTCACAGGATGTTTACAATAATTTTTAATTTGCACAATTATTAATCATTTCTCTATCTGCCTAATTTGCATAATAATTACTCTGCTCGGTGTTTGCCATGACTGTGAATGACAGTGTTTTAAATTAAATTAAGATTTTAATATTCATTTTTTTGGGGTTAAAGCTAATCAAAGTCACCGCTCACTGCCAGGACCGGGGCTGCTGCCCTTCCAGAGACACTAATGAAGACATCAGCTTCCCGGTGGCACTGGCTTTATCTCCATCACCCCTCTCATCCCAGAGGATCCCACAGCGTTACCCAAGCGCTCTCTGATGCCAGAACCGCTCAGACACGGCCACAGCCGGGACAGGAGAGCTGCAGCGACGCAGGATGCAGACCAAGGGCACTGGGGCAAACTGGCCTTCGCTCTTCTTTACTGTCCCACCTTAGTGTTCCCTCAGGTAACAAGACAGAAAGATCCATATTAAAATGTCAGAATTGCATCCTGTGAGCTCTCCCATACTCTGTTATGTTTCACAGATACATTTTACTGAGAAAATATCTGGTAATAAACGAGTAATAGACACATTGTGTAATTCCAGTACGGTAACAAACACTGATAGGAGGTCCCTTGGGTAGTAACAAACACACATACCTCTAACTAAAAATCTGAAAACTGCAGTTTTCACAGTAAGTTGCAAGAGCAGCAGCTCACACTGTTTTCAGGTACTAAAAAACGTGCTCCGTACCAGCATTAAAACGGCTTTGCTTCCCCAGTAGCAGGTTATACGCCCAACCATCGCGCCAGCTGCCGCCTTCTGCTGCTCCGCAAGAGGCACGCTCTCGCTCAAGCAGCGTGGACAGGAAGGTACGAGCATTTAGCCAGGGCAACAACTGTCCACAGTAAGGTGAGTTGAGTAATTCCACAGTATTTTACTGGTTTTTTACATCTCCAGAAGCACTTGGATAAGCGAGAGCAAAAATGAGTATGTGTCAAATGTAACGGCACCCTTCTTTAAGGCTGCAGCTGCCTCAAGTTACATGAAAAAAAAAATAAAAATAGGGCCTTGGTGATTGAAGGGGAAAGTACAACTGGAAAATGGGCACGGCTGAGGAGCAGGCTTTCAATAAACAGCAGGCAGCTCCAAACTCTCGCTGCTGCCTCACGCTATCGCCTCGCGCTCCCAAACCATTTTCCTGCCAGACAGGCTGCAATAGGGCCCACGTGAGTAGAGCCTTCCTGACGCTGCCTTTGCGCCCACAAAAGAAATGAGACCGGCTCAGGTTTGGCTATGAAAGTAAAATAAAAAAAGCCACAGCTCGCTCCCACAGGACCTACAAATGGTGCCTGGTTCTCCATTCCTCTCCCAGCCTCGGTGACCGGCTGTGAGCAGCAGCCCACGGTTTACACAGAGTATTTTTCCCCAAAACACGTGGCGAAGCTTAGCTGACTACCCCATAAATACAGGCGGGACTGGCAGCGCAGGTAGGGTCCAGTAAGTTCCCACTTGTATATCCTATATATATTCCCACGTTATATCCAATTCTATTACCAGGAGACTAACAATGATTTACCCTCCTCATCCCGGCCTTGGAAAAAAAAAAAAACAAACCACAAAACCAATCACCACCACGCAAAATCAAGTAAGAAAAGAAAGCTGTTATTGGCAAGTGTACACACAGATTCCAGGACTGCTAGAAACATAAGACAGTGAATAAAAAAATTAAAAAAAAAAAAAAACAGGGAAGGAATTCCCAAGACTCTCCCACTCCAGCAAAGACTGTGTCCTTATACTTCTCACCCACAGCCCTCCTAGGGCTCGAGAATCCCCGCAAAAACAAGGTATCTCCATGGAAACTGCTGGCTGCGTTTAACACACGCTCCCTGGGACTTCAGCGAAGAACTGTATTTATTTCCACGAGTGCTTTCTCACAGTCGGGGATTAAGGGAAGCTCTCTGCCTGGCCTCCAGCTCCAAGCCCGACAAATCTGATCACAGGCAAGGGGTTACACTTCACATGCTCCGAAGCAACAGTCGGGGGAAGCAACTGCAACGCCCTCTGTACGTGTATTTCCACAAGAAATTGTCCCCCCGAGCATTGCCAGGGCTCCTGAAGGTTTGGCTCTCGGCCTCTTCCAGGGGAGAACCAGAGACACAGAACGACCAGCCTCCTGCTCGGCCCGGGCTAAGAGCAGCTGAGCTTCACTAACTTCACCGCAAGTCGGTGACTCCATGAACTGGGGGACATGGTAACTACAGAAACTTAAGAGAAGCCCTTTGGGTGCGCTGGGAAGGACACAGGGCAGAGCTGACATCAGCTTGCTGGATTAAGAGGTTTTAGGGTACCATCCCTCTCTGGAAGAACTCGAACACAACTGAAACTGCAACTGGAACAGACTGACCTACTGGATGAGGTTCGCTCCCCACTGGCCAAGGGTTTGGCGTACTTTCACCATGAAGAAAAACCTGAGATTTAGGACACCTGAAGACTTGTGAACCGCCCTCAGAGGACAAAGCATTTGGCATAAAACAATTAAGCATAGAGTTTCTACAGTTAGAAGACAAATAAATGGACCAGAAATCAATGTCTGCAGCACCTCAGGGGAAGCAGCAGAGAGCCGAGGCACTGCCACCAGCAGCGGCCACTGCACCTCTCCACCACTACTCCAGTTGCAGTTCTCTGCGCCCATCCTCTCCGCCCGACGGGAATATCCTCTTTCAGCAGCTCTCCTCTAAATTCAGCCTTGCCTCTTGGAAGCAAGGTCTGCTGGGACACTGAGCGCCAAGGACAGGGCTGGGTCCAGGCAGAGCGAGCCATTCCTCATGGCTCCAGCAGCAGGTGAATCTCAGCAGCATCAATTCAGGAGCTTTGCACGGTTCTTCGTCTTGTCTACATGTCCTCAACGCTCCACTTGTATGCGAGCTCCTGAACTGCCTTCTTGTTGGCCATCCGGGCAAAGCGCTGCTGCTCGAATCCGTTGGACCTACAAAGCAATACAGAGAAGACCGTGGGTTGCTGTGCAGATGCTTTTCTGAAGTGATGAAACTTTTTGGAGACATCACAAGTTTTCCACTCTTTTTCCCTGGCTCAGTTTCCCTGCTCTATCTGTGGTTAGCAGCAGTTAACGTCTCTGAGGCTACTCTAACACAGCGCCGTCCGAGGAACACGTACCTGTCCACACCATCCCAGCGATGCCCAGGCCATATATTAAATCTGTTGAGTGGAGGTGCTGGTCCCTTGTACCTGGGTTTTTCTAGAAACAAAAAGAGCAACACATACTACTTCAGCACAATCACGCGGTCGCATCGCCATCGATGCCACACCGCCAGGGCCTTAAACCACGTACTGGTGAAACTCAACATCCAAACCTTTCTTTTCTTTGTTCTCTTTGGCCTTCCTTTTCTTGATGAAGTCAGCCATGGGGTCTCCTTCTCTCTCTTGCTCCCGCAGCATTCGATCCAGATCCTGATCATCAATGTAACGGGCCAATGGCTTCTGCATCTCTTTTATTGCATCCTCCACGTTCTGCTGCTGCTGCCTGCCCTGCGCTAGCCTGAAAACAAACACAAACAGGTTCACCTCCAAAACAAGCAATCCTTTACCGTGACTTGCTCCATCCGCAGGATGGATCGCAGCCCTGAACTTCCGCTGTGCACACATCCAGCAACAGAGAGGATAACTGAGGGAGTCTCTATGACACGTAGGATGTCTGCTCTCCTGGTCCTAGGCTCAAACTCGGAACAAAGTGAGGTGCCACCAACACCACAACACCGGTACCAAAACCGGGCTAAAAAAATCAGGGAGCGGAGAGTCCTAAACTGTAACGCGAGGCCCAAAGACGGCGCCAGGGAGCTCTGGAAAGCCTTACCCTCTTCCCCATTTGGCGTACTGCTCGTCTCTCTCCGACTTCGCTTCAGCCTTCTGCATCTGCTCCAGCCGCTCCTGCGCAAGGTCTCTCTTGCGGCCTGTCTTGTCTCGGAAGACCGTCTCTGAGTGTCGGGACTCCTCTGGAGCGGGGAGATGCCTCAAGTCAGGCGTGTGGGAACGTTTCACCTTCTCCAGACAATTTGATGACTAACTGTGACTTGTTTCAATGTGTTTTCTTTTCACTTGTTCTAACCTCCAAAAGAGCTCGTCATCCAAAACCAGGCAAGATGACAGATCTTGCTTTTAGCTGCTGCCCCACACAGCCACGCTTGTACCACGAATATCAGTCTGCTTCTTCAGACTCGCAGCTGGGGCAGACAGAGGGGGGAAAAAACCTCTCACCCTCTCTACGATTTCACCGGCATTGCTTTGAAATCACCATAAGTCTGTTATTTCAGAGGCTCCATGACCCTACTCAGGGAATCCATCAGCATGCCCAGCTGCTGCCGCACAGGGATGTTCCCTGTCAGCACCCCAACACCAGGCCCTCATACAGCATCAGGAGCCAGCTGAGAGCAGAGAAAGGGCAAGCTGGTGCTGATGCAGCGTTTTACACCCCTACCTTCCAAGTGCTTGTTACTTCTCTCATGCTTCCTCAGCTCCTGCTGTTCCCTCTGCAGCACGTCAGCTGACACCAAGCCAGCTTTGACCCCAGAAAACATCACATTTGCCTACAAATGAAACAAGACAAAAGTCACAGTTACTGCTACCTGAGAGCTGTCCAGCGATCCAGAGGCATAACGAGGGGACTGCCCAAAATCAAGAGATATGTGCCAGCAGAGTCAGCCGTGTTACAAAGGCACTTTGCTCACAGACAACTTCCCCACACCTCCAGAAACAGAGCAAATCAAGGCAGAGCTCCTCTCTCATTCCGCCTCTTATTGCGAGCAGAGGGTCTGGCACGACTGCGTACACGAGGCATACGAAATTTCTACTCCACAGTTTTTAAGTCGTTAGGCTTTTACAGTTTTCTATCAACAGGAAATCATCCACAGCTTAAACGGAAAGAAAAAAGTATTTACCTTCTTGGGAGGTCCCTTCGCATCACGGTCAGGGGGACTCCTTGGACTGTGCTGATCCTTTCCGGCTGGCAGAGCCCGTCGTGGGGGAGATAAATCCGAGTCTGAAGATTGGCTCCGGTTGCGTTTGAGAGGGCCTCTCTGAGGCGAGGCCACCTGCCTGAGCTTTTTCGTGGTCGGAGAAGAACCTGCAATAAAGATATACACTAACTAAAAATCGCAGAATTAGTCCCACAAAAGGGCGCACGAGGTGAACTCCTGGAAAAATCAAGGCCTTAAGAGATGACAAGCTCTAGGGAAACAACAGGTATGTGACAAAAGCCTGAGAATTCTCTTCCTTCTGAACACATACTGCCTGGAGACAAGGCTGAAACTCTGTTTTCCTTTCTGACATGTTTCAGCCTTAGCCAGCTAACCCTTAGGTTAATTCTGGTCCAGCTGATTTCAAAAAAAAAAAAAAAAAAGAGATTACAAGATGTAATTTGCATTTACCAATGCAAACAGCCACCTATCTGCTACCATTCCACGATCATGGACTACTAATTCCACGCCACTTGCCTCTGAGGAGCATGCAGACATGATCAGAGTGGGCAGCCAGCAGAGCGCAGGACAAACAGACAGAACAAACTCTTAGTCACACTCACCTTTTGTTCTGCTCTGCTTTTTCAGGCTAGGTAACCCAGTCCTCTTTTGCTGAGACGGTGATGAATCCGGGTCAGAATCGTACCTCTTCTTCCGTGGGGGGGATAGATCTGGAGTAGCCTGATGCTTCTGTCGTGACGAGGACTTGTCAGAGGCACTGTGCCTGAGCTGAGACTGCTCTCCTTGCACTCCCCCTGGTCGTGACTTGTCTGTGGTTTTGCAGCCCTTTTTCCCCGTGGCTGAACTGACTCTCTTTGGAGAGACGTCCGGGGAGTCGTGACGCTGCCGCCTGGGAGGCGACAGGTCCGGGGAGTCGTGACGCTGCCGCCTGGGAGGCGACAGGTCCGGGGAGTCGTGACGCTTCTTTCTTGGGGGAGAGAGGTCCGCAGAGCCGTTGTGCTTCCTTCTTAGTGGTGACAAGTCTGGGGAGTCGTGACGTTTCCTTCTTGGTGGGGAGAGATCTGGGGAGTCATGGCGCTGCCGCCTGGGAGGCAAGAGGTTAGGGGAATTGTTTCTCTCTCGCCTGGGCGGAGACAGATCCGGGGAGTCGTGGCGCTGGTGCCCTGGAGGGGATTTGTCCGGGGAGTCATGCCGCAGCCTCCGTGGCGGCGAGCTGTCTGGGGAGTCGTGGCGCTGTCGCCTGGGAGGGACAGAGAAAGTGAAAATAGGAGTGAGATTTTCATTTGCTTTGCTGACTCCAGACTGGAAACAAAAACCAAGTGGGACCCGTAAAGCTAGCAGTAGGGGTCAAGAATGAAAACAGCTTTCTGAACGCGAATTCATTCTTGATTCTGCGCCTCCATGTAGTGACCTACATCACTGAGCCGCAGACGTCCCAAAGTAGATACCAAAAAGCCTCTGAGGCAGCCTGGACCACAGGAGGCTGTCATTTGTCTCCAGGGACCCTTGCAACATTTCAACTATAGAACCCATTTTGTGCCCTCACAATACCATCCTCTCACGTGGAAGCGCTCCGTCTAGAATTTCTAGTTTGAGCCCCGTACCTTGCGGTGGATTTGGCAGGTACTGAAATATCCGAGCTTTGTGAGTCTTCATTCTGGTCTGAAGAAAGACAATCAGAAAGTCACTATCATTAGGCTTCGCCCCTGTGCGTGATCTCTTTGGCATTTCAAGGATTTATTTTTTTTAGCTAGTATGATTTTTAACTTGCAATGTCAT